TGTCGCGCTGCTGGTGCCGGGCGGCTTTGGCGGGATGGAGCCTCTCCGCTCCTGTGGAGAGTTAGGGGTGGGGGTGGGATCCTCGTGGAGAATCCCGGCTGGTAGGTTTCTCTGTTCCTGGCGATCCGCCGTTCTGCGAACTGGTACCTGGTATCTGCAACCGGTACCTGGTATCTGCGAGCGGCCCCCTGTGTCTCTGGGGCTCCGGCAGCCCCCGCCCCGCCGGCTGGCTGGCAGCTTCATTCCAATGACTTTTACATGTGAACTTTTGGGCTTTTAGTTCATTCATTCGTTTGCTCATTCCTTCCTTTTCTTTCCCCCTTCCCTCCCTTCCTTCTCTCCCTCTTTCATTCCTGGCAAGGTCTCACCATATAGCCCAGGCTGGCCTCAAATTTCTGATCCTCCTGCATTAGCATCCTGAATGCTTTGATTACAGGCATGCCAGGTGATGTGGTACACACATGTGATCTCAGCGCTCAGGAGGTAGGAGCAGGAGAGTCATGAGTTTCAGGATACCCTCCACTAGAGTGAGATCTTATTTCAGCTTTTTCTCCCACCATCCCCCAACAGAAACAAACAAACTCTTGCCTTTATGTTAGGCTCAATTTTAGCTGTTGACAGCTGAAAATACACTTAAAAATAATTTAAACTTTTTTGAAATAAGTCACTCTGAAGGGTAGTGAACTAGAGGTATGAATGCAAAGGTAGACAGACCTCCCTGTTCTCTGTGGTCTGTGTGTGTGGGTGTGAGGGTGAGCACACGCACGTGTGTGTGGCAGAGGTGGAGGGCCCTTACTATAGCTGGGAGGTTTGCTTAAGATCTTTTTCAATTTGAAGATTCTGAGATTCTAATATTTCACATTTTGTTTCTGACAGGCCAGGGCTTTGATCGACATTTGTTTGCCCTGCGGTACCTGGCAGCAGCCAAAGGGATGGCCCTGCCCGAACTCTACATGGACCCTGCATATGGGCAGATAAACCACAACATCCTGTCCACCAGCACTCTGAGCAGCCCAGCAGTGAACCTTGGCGGCTTTGCCCCTGTGGTCCCTGATGGCTTTGGCATTGGGTATGCTGTTCATGACAACTGGATAGGCTGCAACGTCTCCTCCTACCCAGGGCGCAATCCCCGGGAGTTCCTCCAGTGTGTCCATAAGTCTTTAGAAGACATGTTTGATGCCTTAGAAGGCAAATCCATCAAAACATAGCTTCTAGGTGGGCGGAAAGTCTCTGTTGCTTCCTCATCATGAAAACGGGAGTCCATGTGACCCACAGGTGCTGTTCTGTGCCTAACAAAACTAACCACGAGTGCCTGAGCAGCCAGCACTGCAGGCTGGAGCTGAAAGATCATGGTTTTAAAGCTAGACATTGCTGAGTGGGACTAGAACATGACTGAAGATAAGGAGAAAGTTCAGTTTTAAAGCCTTTTGATCAGGAGATAGGGTTTGGAAAAATAACTCCGATGTATTTATTGGTTAAGCCAAAATAAAATGTATCTGTGGCTTGGAGATGGTTCCTCTTTTTCTTTTCCTAAACTAAATTTTCTAATCTCCATGAAGAACTTTCCAATAGGAAGTGTACGTAGCAGTAAGCTTCCATCTGTGTCTTTCCTAAGGAGTGAACTGTTCTGTGTAGTTCTGGCAGGCCTGTTGACATGAGGACTGTGCCCAGAGCGTTGAGGACTGGTTAGTTTCACTCTTTTCCAGCAAAAGGAATAGGGCATGTGTTAACCATTTGAAGCTATCTGTTAATTATGGCTTTAGGTAGCAGACAGTACTGTCTACACATTCTGAAACCTCTCTATTGAGTGAAATGAACATAGAATTTTGTTTCCTCTCTAGTTTATTGTTGTGTTGTTGTAAAAATTAAAGGAAGGGTGTTTTTGTATTACTTTTTGCAAAGTAAGGGGTCTGTTTGTATTTATACTTACTGTATCCCCAGTGGCTGAGTTACTAATATAGCTGGGGTTTGAATTCTGGTATTGGTCCATCACAATCACTTTTAATGCATTCCCTCATCCAGCCCCCTGTACAATTCCTGCAGTGTAGAGATGTTACAAAGATTAGCTCAGATAGCATAGGTAAAGCACCTGGCACATACTTGAAACACTATGTTCTGTTACCACTTTATGATGGCTATGGCTTCTCGTTCTCTAGTGAAGTACTGGCCTTACCTGAAGAGTGACTGCTCATAGTATCAACTCTGTAGACCAACACCTGAACTGAATCTTGCAGGGCTGAAAAAGTTATACTTAACACAAACTTTCAGGGTGAATGTATTAGGCAGTAATACCTTGGGTGTATTCTGGCCAGTCAGTGCTCAAGAGTCCTCTTTATGGCTCTCCCATGTGCTTCCTTCATGTACTGGATTCATGTGATGAGGATTCTAGAATGAAGCTAGAATAGCAAAGACATTTAACTAAAGCTTCAACTGACTTGGAGTTCACACATACCTTGCAGGTTTGTGTAGAAGTCTTTTTTAATCCCCTGTGCATGGACTGGTTTGATCTTGTCATCTATGGAATGGGAAGAAATTATTTTTTCCAACTTTACATGGGCTGGGGGGTGCTCAGCTGAGAACACTTAAGTGCAGTAACTTGCTCTGTTGCCTTTCTATCATGTTCCTGTCTGTCTAGGCTTCTAGTAATCACAATCTCCACCAGCTGGCCTCACAGCTCAGGAGAGTGCTCAGCTGGTGCTTGCTGCTCCCCTGGAGGAGCCCATTCCAGGGGCAGCTTTCAGGAAGTCATCAGGCTTTGTCCAGGTGGCTTTCCCTGTAACCTCTAAACAGGTATTGCACACTGCCAGACCCACAGCCCACCAGCCTCTCAGAAGACTAATGGACTAGGACTCTCAAATAGAAGTTGGTATATATCATGTGGCTTATGTCTTAAACAAGCCCAGACACTTTATTGATGTATATTTCACATACCTGAGTCTCCTTATTTAAAGTGCATGTATAGCTAAATAACCATCCATACAATTAGAACATTATCTGATTTTCTCCCAGAAAGAAATCCCATACTCATTAATCTTTTCTCCCAATCTTCTAACTTCTACCTGACAGGATACTGCTGTCCTGGAGGGGGTCCCAAGGAAGTACCTTTTATTCATCACTTAAGTACATGTATCTAGGCCTCGTGATAAAGGGCAGAACCCAGACAAGCAGCCATTTGGACACAGAGGATGGTGCCCTCATTTTTCAAGTGGAGAAAATGAGGCTGATAGAGAAGGCATCTGCCTAGGGTTTGCTGAGCCCAGGAATATTCTATTCCAATATAGTATAGCACGGAAGCATACTCACCCTTGGAGTAGATTTTTGTATGTAGAGTAGGGTTCCAACATTATTTTGTTGTACCAAGTTAGTAATTGCTCAGCATTATTTACCAATGAATTAATAATGAACCCACTGATCTGAAACACCATGTTATTAATAATTTTTCATATACAAATCTACTCTCATTGGCATAATTGTGGTGACAGCACCAATACACTATAGGGCTGTTGTTTTACTGGCATAGTATGATATGTGGTAGGTGATGTCTCCCACTTGTGTGAAAGTTTCTTTGACTTTCTTCAAAGTTGCTATTTCCATTGCAGTTTAATAAATACAAATTTATTGAAAATGACCATCTATATATCAAGTCTTTCCATCCACCAGCAATAAGAAGGTCTTGTTGGGCAAGGTGGCTCACTTATAATTGCAGCTACTTGAGAGGTATAGATCAGGAAGACTGCAGTTTAAGGATAGTCTGGGAAAAAAACTTAGGCCCTCCAATCTCAACAAATACTAGGTGCCAGGACTTTCCCTGGGCAAAAACACACTATTTTATCTGAAAAACAAGTAAAAGAGGACTAGGAACTTGGCTTAGGTGGTGTAGCACCTACCTAACAAGTGCAAGGCCCCCAGTACTGCCAAAAAATGTTAACATTATAAATCTAAAACTTTAGGACCTCTCATGAGAGCTTAATAGTTTTCTCCATTAAACTAATAATCTCTTTCATTAATACCTAGTAGTTTGGGGAACTATATACATTGTTCTAGGAAGTGGGTCAGCACCCCATTAGTGAGCTACAGTGCTAGTGTAACTGTTGATTACATTTATACATGGTATATCCTCTTGAATTGTAATTTGCTTATGAGTACTATATTGAAGCAATTTGACTTCTATATATTGATCTTAAATATATCACTTGCTAATGTTTTTGGACTTTAATGGAGAAGCATAATCTGTAAAATACTGGGTCTTTTTTTTTATCCTCTCATCTTCGTTTTTAATTGTATTTTCACACCAGTGTGCCCTCCAGCGCAATGAACAGCAGTGATCCAAGGCATTCCCCTATTCCCAATCTTGGAGCACATATGGTTTTTGGTGTTTTTTTGTTTTTGTTTTTGCTTGAACTCAGGGCCTCAGCTCTGTCCCTGAGCCTCTCTGTGCTCAAGGCTAGCACACTCACTTAAGCCATGGTGCCACTTCTGACTTTTTCTGAGTAGTTTATTGGAAATAAGAGTCTCATGGCTTTTCCTGCCCAGGCTGGCTTTAAATTGCGATCCTTAGATCTCAACCTCCTGAGTAGCTACGATTATAGGTGTGAGCTACGAGAGTGCTGGGCTACATCTAGTTTTCCATCATTTACAAAGCATAGCACTTGCTCTAGGCTATCTGCCTTTTGCTCCCATACACCCAATTGCTAGACAGGCTCTGTACCACTTGAGCCACACCTCTAGCCTCTTTGTCTTGGTTATTTTCAAGCTTTCACTTTATGCTGATATTCTTCTACTTGTGTATACGCACCACCTCTCTTAGCCATTGGTTGAGATGGTATCTCTGGAACTTCAATCCCCAGTTGGCCACAAGCTTTAATCTCTTGATCTCTGCCTTTTTATTTTCCTTCTTGAGATTGGTTCTTGCTATGTAGAGGCAAGATCATTTTGCCTCTACTGCTCAAGTGCTGAGATTACAAATGTGTGCCAGCACACTCAGCAATAAATATCTTCTTTGAGGGAGAGTCACCCCCTTTATTTTTTAGCTTGCTAAGATTTGTCTATACTTCATTTCTAAATGGGAACTGAATTTTACTGAGTGTCTTTTCCGCAGTCTATTTTGTTTTCCTTTATTCTGTGAATGACTACTTAGGTTTCCCTACTTCCTGAAATAATTTACAGTATAATTTAAAAAAACAGAAAAGCTTGAGATCTCTTTAGAGTTTAATTTATGAACATAACATACATTGGCTAGTACTGTTCAGTGATTTAAAACAAGAAAGGTTTCTTCCTCAGCCTGGAGTTTCCTAAATTATTTGTTTCCAGGCAAAGCAGTGGACTAGACCCAGTGGAGGGTGAGGGACTCGTGGGGAGAAGACTGAGGAAGCTCTGCTGTGAGATGAAGAAAAACTTAGAGATGTGGCTGCTGGACTTGAAAGAGGGCAATGCAGACACCTCAAATCCTTGGATACACTAGCGTTGTCTGAAACTGGAGGACCCCTTGCTGAAATCTCACAGCCAGCTTAGGAGTGGGCAGACCTTTCTCATTCTCAAAAAGTATGAAACAAGCTGGGCACCAGTCATTCACACTTATAATCCTAGTTACCTGGGAGGCTGAGAACTGGGGATCACAGTTCAAAGCCAGCACAGGAAGATGAATCTGAGAGACTCCAATTAATCAGCAAAAAGTCAGAAGTGGCTCAAGTGGTAGAACATTAGGCTTGAGCAAAAAATCCAAGATCAAGAAACTCTTTTCAAGACTCAGTACTGGCACATAAACATATACACACATACACACGAAGCAAAGGTATAATGTTTATTTCCAAAGAATTCTAGGCTCTGTTGGGCATGGTGGTATACACTGTAATCCCAGTATTTGAGAGACGGAGGCAGATGGGTTGTGAATTAGAGGCCTGCCTGAGCTATATAGCAAGACTCAGCCTCCCTCAAAAAGAAAGGGGGTGGGGGAAGAATTCTGGTCTTCAGTAGAACACAACAGACTTTCCAAACAGCAGCTCCCTGGTATCTTACTGCAGCAAACAACTTTGTTTTACTGTGTGAAGATCTCAGGCCTATAAGACTATGAAGGTCTTGACTGATATCTTCACCACTCACTCCAAGAGTGAAGGAAGTTTTTCTATCTTTGTTGCCCCTGGCTCTGATGCTGTTCATCCTCTGGGTTGACCTGCTCCTAGACCAAGAGCCCGAGAGCCCTTAGAAGCTCTGTATTCCTATGTATTTTGCAAATTCTATCAGTCACAGGTTTTTAAACTGTGGAAAGGCAAAGACCTTCAAGGTACATAGTTATTTGTGAAGGGCATGGCTGCTCCTTTGCTCTATCTTCATGTACCACGGGGACTTAGTGGGGGATTCACTGGTGGGATCTGGGAACCATGACAAAGTCCGGCATGTGGATTGGGAGGACTTAATGCAACTACCAGGGCACAAAGAACCAAGGGACTAGGCTCTGTGGGGGTTGCTGTCTGGGCACTTGGTCTCTTCGCAGTTCTTAGGGACAAGTGTG